GGTAAAACTAATTACTCATATAATCACATCTCAAAATCAAACCCAATGACAGAATACAAGTCATTCATTCAATGGTAATATATATCAGACTATATCTCATAGTTAGAAATACTTATGAATGTATAAATTAATAAGTTATATATAAATAGTGAGATTTAGTGTTACAAACTTAAGATTGCCATGATAGCTCAGTTGGTATAACGTTGGCCAACATATGCTAAAGGCCCCTGGTTCGATTCCCACTTCCGTCACTTTTTTAAAAAACTTTTTCACATTTATTTTCAGTCTATGTCTATTCATATTTACTCACATGTAAGCATATAAAATTACCCATATATATGCAAAGTCTAATTACCCATCTATGTCTAATTATTCGCAAAGCATAAGCAGTTTTTTGGATGATTACTGGTTCCCAAAACAGTAATCCCAGTGACAGTGAGTGTACATTTGATTGAAAACTTAATTATTTGATTTTATTTATAAACAGAATTATAAATTAATTTAAAAGTTATTTTTGTATGTAAAAATGTAAATAAATGTATTATATTATAATGTCAATAGAAAATCGTGATAAATTAAAAACCTATTATACTGAAAGCACATATCTAAAATAGGTACATTAAGTAAAAAATATGAACTCAAAATTCTACCAGGCTCAAGTGGCAAATAATAATAATATAAAAGATTAAACTATACTTTACTCATTATCAATAAAAGACTTTATAAGTGATGTAAAGTATATATTATATAAAGTACATATTATATATATTATATTATATTACTTTACTTTACTTTATATTCAATGTGTCAATAAATGAATTGTTAGAAGTGCATTGTCTCAATAATAAATTATCTAGATATTTCAGGATTATTGCAACATTAACTAATAATTAGTTATTAATTATTAACCTAATTGTTATCACTTAAACATTTAAGTTATAGATAATTATTGTTTAAAATTAATATAAAAACAGAAAACTTCTTATTAATAATTATTATTTGTTTATAATTAGACTATTTTTAAAAATGTTTAATAAATTACAAATTATTTTTATTAGTTTTGTATGTTTTTGGGCCAAAAGTGTCACAAACGGCGAGTTTTTAACACTCGATGGCACCGATTGGTTGGCAATCAATCAAAACAAATGTAATTTTTTAAAATTAATAAATAATTAACCAATTAGATACGTTATAATAATGTTAATTAATATTACCACCATGGTTATAACAGCGATTCAGGTGAAAGCCCGAGTGCCGGGAAGTATATACTCAGACCTGAGACGTGAGGGCGTACTTAAGGAGTCCTTACTGTCCGGCGATAATGACCTGAAGTATCGGTGGGTTTCGTACGACAACTGGACTTTTGAGCGAACATTCAATGGTATTATAAATCAAATAATTATTTGAATAAAAAATTAATTTATTGTAATATTATAGTTGATGAGAAAATATTGAGCAAACAATACGTGTATTTGTTGGCCAACGGTATCGACACTGTCAGCGAAGTTACCGTAAATGGCCGACTGATAGGCCGTACAGACAATCAGTTTATACGGTATAAGTGGGACGTAAAACACGTGTTAAAAGTGGGCCAAAACACGGTTCGTGTGTCCATACAGTCGGCGCCGTTGTATTCAATGCAAAAGTCTAAAGAATACAAAGAGAAATACAAATATGAAGTTTACCGTAAGTAAATTATAATATATGTTAATTTATCAATTTTTAATTATAAATATTTAATTGGATTTATTTTAGCATGTACCAAAACAGATAATAATGAGTGTAATTATGATTTCATCCGAAAAATGGCCGCATCTTATAGTTGGGATTGGGTTTGTATTGCTCTCTTGTATTCTTTAGACTTTTGCATTGAATGTTCGCTCAAAAGTCCAGTTGTCGTACG